AATGACTCAATTCCATGACAATCTCTAGCCTTCAGCAAGTTAATAAACTCATCGAAGAGTAGCTGATTAACCGTCGGGCTAATACAATCTCGGTCATACTCTTCATTGGGTTATTAAACCTTGGTGGTCTGAGCTCGTTTGTAATTACTTTAAGCTTTAGTCGGTATTGCGTACTCTGGCTTACACGAGTACATACATTAATACATGCACACGCACACACACGCACAAGTACACGGACACACACACACACACTCAAGTATGAGTAGCTTGGTTACTATGACAGAGAACTAGCCAAATCATTCTATACTTACCTATTTCTCTATATTTTCCCTTTTCTAGTATCAGTAGATATAGCATGTGGGATAGAGCCATATAGTCCACTTGATTTAGTGTCAACTTGATGCTTTTGCAAAAATGAGTTCTGCTGCTTTTGACGATGTTTGCTATATCATGGACATAGATGTAATCCGGTTTTACACGAGCAGATGGAGTATGCCTCGTTGAATGGATCAAGATTAACGTCGTTTGAAGCCAAACAGCCAAACAACAACGGTACTCAGACTTCGGCTTCCTGTGAAATCGTCCTTCAAATCGCTTCATCTTACACCCTATAACGAAACGAAAGTCTCCTCAACAATGCCAGCCTCTCCGCTGTTTTTTTACCAATCAATTTATTTTAGTGTATTTTAACACGTGTGTACTTGAGAATGTATGCAGTTAAAACATACGAATCGATTAATCATGAAGGAACATATTCTTATACCCTAAGGTCCTCAAGGCTGGAAGGTCTTTTATTTGCTGCCCTAGGAGACTCTTCATTAGAATTACACAACGCTGAACAGCTGTGTAGCTGATTTAATTATCTTTCTTTAGTCTATCTATACAAAGTATGACATCAACAGAACCCACGTTGATGATATCTATCCTAGTGCATATGCAACCCCAGAACGATTTCACCGTAAACCAAGAAAGGTTTCCCGAGGACAATATAAATATCAACGTCTTAGTACAACTGTAAGACAGCAGGCCTGTCTTTCGGTGTGATCATTAAACGAATCTGTTCATCATACACTTTCACTCGAGATCAAAGTAGAGTCATATCTGATCACACCAAGAGATTTCTCGAAATCAAATTTCACTTTTTGCATTATGGCCTGTTACGTCATTGGAGAATTATACACCCTTTCAAAAGCTGTCTGAATGATGGCCATAAGTACTCGAGAAGACTGAGACCAGTTTTTTTGTTATGGTAAATTTCGTTAAAAGTTGGTTGCATGTAGTAACGATGTCGTTCATAAGACAGACGAAGGATCAATGCAAATAGCTCGGATCCGGAGGTGGATACGGTTCAAAAATACTTCGCTCTTTTCAACAGCAATCTCTCGAAGACAATCTGCCTTCGATTTCCTCTGATGTCAACTGGCCGTTCAACTGATACATTTTCATCAAAAATGAAAGGTTTAATAACATTAAGTAATTAAGGAATTAAGAACTTAGTTTTAAATGTGTGAGTAGGTTTGCGAGACTTTCAATAGATCTGATGTAATAACTATACTTACCCCATTTCGTTTAAGATGAAAAAGGACTAGTAAGTGAAGTTTCCCACAATCAGATCAGTAGTCCTCATCCTCTTTTGGAGTTCAGATAGCCCTGTATCCCAAAAGGTATTGTCATCCAGACAGGAGCAGACTACAGTCTTAACCTTTTCTAAGTATCATCATTCGGTTTGTGGTAATGAGGCGTATAGTCTCAACATGTTGACCACCGTGCCACTCGGCCACGAGTAGCCTTGGCTCACAGAGCAGAAGTGGCATAGGTTTCTGTCATATCACATTTCTATAATGGGATTGTCGACGAAGCAAGTTGTACTTGCTGCAGCAAGGACAACACTACTTATTTTCATTTTATAAGTACGTGTCCGAGACTAATCCAGGATTAGAATTCCATCTGGGATGCTGATGAGATCTAGGCGAGATCGGAACTGTAATCCACCTCTGCCTGAATGAGAGTGCCTTTGTGGAAATTCACTGGAATTGTTAAACCTAGTCATATCAATGTGGGAAAATCTAGCTACCCTTTTTTCCCATCTAAAACGAAGCATGGTGAATACAGTTCGCAAAGTGAGAATTTAGTCACTATAGGCAGTGCAAATTGATATGAGAACTCATATCATCGCCTACGATGATTGAATTTCTAATAGCCTTGCCTCCCACAAGGTTATCCCTTCCAGGAGGACTGCAGTTTCGTTCCCGCATAACTGTGTCATCAGCGCATCGATGTATTTATAAACCAGGACGTTAGTATCGTAGCGACGTTGCCACTTTATTAGACAACCATAGTTGCCCATGTGTTACAGGACAAGTGTGACAGTGAAGGCAAGTTGGATCTCATCCAAAACACATTTATTGTCGGATTATGGATGAAGCAGGCATGCATTTGCTATTGTAGCACACCATCTTTTCATAACCTATTTACGACGAAAATTAAGGGACTATTCTGGACCAAATTTTTGGTATATTGAGACTTTGAATTGATACATCTCATCGACCGATTTGGCAAAACGCATAGAAATACCCTTCAAGTGACTTTCATAGAACTATTTGCCACCTGAAAGGATGCTTACAAAAATCAGGCTGACCAAAAGAGTGGTGAAGCTAGCATACCATGTCTAACTTTAGGGGCCCGGATTTTGCTGTGAATAGGCAAAGTGGTAGACGTTATCGACCGCATGTTCAGGTAACCTAGCTTGGCCAATCAACATGTTGCCACAGTGAGATAACTAGAATTTGGGGGTTATGGCACTACCACTTGAGTTGCTCTCACCTATTTTGCTTTATCCTTCTGCTCTCTCACGTCCAGTTTACTCGCTCGCTCAACCCAATCGCGTCCAATTGTGGCCACTCAAAACATTGTAACGGGTAGCCTGTGTACAGGTCCTTATAGCCTGACCAATCCGACCTGACCTGATTCGTCCATCATGCCATCTCTAACGAACTGTCCGGCCGAATACGATGCAATGAGCAGAAAATATTGCCAACACAGGAGGCAGGGGGGTGATAGATGGAGGCTACCTCACTTTCTGTACCAGAAAGTAGACGGACAAATCGCTGGATAGCGAGCGTAGGGCCACCTAAGGCTTAACGGCCCCTATGAGCTTGGTAAAAGCGACAAAGGAAGTGAAGGGGGAATATGGCTGGTAGTTCTGATAAGATATCGGTTAGGATTCAACATTCAAGGGGAAGAGAGAGAGAGAGAAAGAGAGAGAGAAAGAGAGAGAGAGAGAGAGGAGAGAGGAATAGGAAAGAGATAGAGAGAAGTAAATGGGCGAGATGAGAAAAAGATAGAACCAATTTGTTGAACACAAATTACACAATTTTTTGAGCCGCTTAGCTCTTTACCATTAAAGAGCCAGTACAACAGCAGATAACCTCTTTATCTTTGACAGATCGGTCCAGCAGCAGAGAGACGAGCAGACCGTCCCGGTTATCAGGATTTCGGATTTATCTGCTTGCTACAGATATCGCCGGGAACCACAGGAAATCTTGGTGAGTCGAATGCCACTCCGTTATCTATATCTATCGCCAGCGCGTCCTCCACCTACACCAAACGACTTAAGTTGACCAGTAGAAAGAACGTGGTAAAGGGGTCCAAAATAAATAATGGATACGAGGTGGTAAGAAAAAGATAGTGAAAAGAAAATGAATGGAGCGGGCGAGGGAGAGAGAGAGAAATTCAACCAAAAAATACAGATTAAACAGTGATACAAATTACGATAAAATATAAACATGTTCATTATAACTTAGTAGATAAACTAGAACAAGAAGGAAACAAATTGAAATGGAAATGCATAGCACATCAAAATATCTCATGGCAGAGCAAATGATACAATAGAAATCAGCACATAGACACTCGATTCCACGGCGGATCAAAGCAATCGAGTAACGGGTCAGAAAAGGATTCAAAGCGGAGCAGGTCTCTAGTTGCTCATTTGGCATTAATGAATTCGAATTTAGCTCAGTAATGTTGTTAATACTTTTTGGATTATATCCTATTTTATTAGAAAAATTTTATCCTAATTTGAACTAGGGCAAATCGAGCATCAGGGCAATTCAAATTAAACAACTGTTTGACTTTTTTAAAGATCCTGTGAGCGTATGACGTCTCTATTATTGACTAGTACAGTTGTATTAAATGGCAGCTGTAGTAGTATCCTAGTTCATATTATAAAGTTAGCAGAATAAATTCCGTTTAACCAATTTATTCCTCCAAGTTTGATCAAATTTGATCTTACAACTTGATCATTAATATTATGCTACTAAGCATAACACTTACCTCTATTTACTCGCCAATATTCTACTAATTTTAATCTTTTTTCAATTTTGTTATAATATCTCTAAGCATACAAAATAAAAAGCAATCGTCGAGATGAGCTTTCTATATAATTGATTTACCAATTTAGTCTTTATACAAAGAGGGGTTGTTGGCAGTATTGATTTGATCTGATGATGCCAACGGATTTCCTCATCCTATGTACAAGTTTTCTTTCTATAATTTTTGGCGCATGTAAGTGTATGAAGGATTAGATCTTAGTAAATCAGCAATACTGCGGATAAAAATGAATAAAGCTAATATATTTTTTAGCTTGGGAAGAATTTTTCTGTCAGCTATCCAAAAATGTCTAGGCCTGAATTAATAATGGATAACTATTTTTCAGAGCAGTGCTTTCATCTGCGAAGGTGTGACCCAGGTTGGCTTGGCTGCTATAAGAATGGGTAAATATTTTGGGGTTTATAGTATTCAACCTATCTTGGTCCTCATATCTACGATCGAATTAAGTCACAACATGCAGCAACGATTTGCATTTAAGTTATCATTTCTTTATTTACTCTGAAAAGAGCAGACCGATGAAGACTGTATCGGAGCATTTCATATGTGTAGAATTGAAGATTCCATACTAGCTATTTTAGAAGTAGTTAAATATATAGTAGTAAACTAATGAGCTACTAGAATAACCCTATCTATTGAGATAAATAATTTAGTGCTTATTAACTGTATTGCAGCTGTATATCAACTAATTTATGGCATGTAGCTTGTCCCAAACGGGGAGTATTTTGCAAGATTGACACAAATAATTGGTTGTCGAAAAACGACTTAATGTTTGTGCTTTGCCGGTACCCAATTTTCCGGGTAATTAATAATGGATCCTGCCTGATGAAATAGAGGGCAAATGTTGTGATGCAGCAAAACT